TATATATATATACTACACACATACACACAATTTTTACATTTTATCATTTATAAGAATCACAAGAAAGAAAGGACCCCAAATAGAAAGGACCCTTTTAGACCTTCTGCACTGTGTCATTAGAAATATCACAAATGCTCACTTTTATTGCATTTTTGTTCAGGTCATTAGAAAACATGACGATGTTTCTCAAACATATGAGTGTGTTTTCATGAAAATAATGATTAATGTTCACTCACATGTATTCAAGGTTAAACTAAAGCATTTTAGTACTTTTTAATCATAAGTAGAAAAGGGTATAAAAAATGAAATCAGCGTGGATACACATATTACATTTTTAAGAACTACCCAATTTTTTAAAACTAATTTTTATCACCTCATACACCCTTTTGCAATGTAAAACTAATAAAACATTAGCTGTTCTATTCTAATTGTTGATAAAAGAAAAAATTATTGTGATTATGATGTGGCCAATTTGAATGAGACCGACTCAGTATTAAATAATTTAAGCAGCCAGATGTCCATTATACTGCAGACACATGAATACGCATCAGTACGCCAGGATGCAGTGCTTACACCTACTCAGGGTGACCTATGCATATTATTATATTATAAATATATGAATAAATGAATGAATTACCACCCTGGAGCTCTAGCATATCCATTTTTATAGAAAGGATCTATTTATATATGCTTATGGGTATGCTGTGGTGATATTGATTCTTATCCAAACAATGACATTCTGGATGGATGCACCAAACAGAGAAAGAAAGAGAGACAGTTTTACTGGAAATTCTAAGTATCACCAGAATGGCACCTGTAGCTGCAGGGTCAATATACAGGATCCGAACTGCTGAATATTCTACATTAGAAAGTTAAAAAATAGATACAATAACTGCATAATTGTATAAATCTTTAATTTACAATGTGTGTGACTTTGATACAACAATTCTTATAACTTTTCAAAAAAAAAAAATACCAAAGTGAACTAGCCTAGCGGTCTTCTCACTTGTCCATACAGTGGAAAAAGACAGAAAAAGAAAATTAACATTTAGTAAATAAGCTATTCACGCATGATGACTGGACAAGTCAGACTGTTTACTAGTGTAGCACTACCCTGACAGAGCAACAAAAGGAGATCCAACTGAATTCCTAAATTGGACAGCTCTTCTACCCAAGGTCATGGCTGTTGTTTCCCAAAATAACCTGGAGCGTGGACGCATCCAAAGTGTAGCACTTTGTAGGGCATTATCTTTGGACACATAGACTGGAGCTCTGTTCTTGAAGACGTGTCAAAACTGAGACTAAGGACTTGTTGGAAGTTAGTGTGTCAGAGAGTTTTGAACCCTCTTATCCAGACAACCCTCATTAAATGAGTTCTTTTCACTTCAGAATGCATTTATATGTACTAAATAATATACAGTTTTAAAGGAATATTTCACCCAAAATTGAAAATTTGCTGAAAATGTACTCCCCCTTAGGCCATCCAAGGTGTAGATGAGTTTGTTTCTTCATTGGGAACTGGGAGTCAGTGGAAGCCAAAAGAAAAGATCCTTGCTTAGTACATCACATTCACCCCCCGTCCAAGCCTCTGCCTGCCTGGAAATGTTACGGTCGACCCCTTTTGCCGTCTTTCTCTCCCGTTCAGTGGTGATGGAAGCGGCGTTTACTCGTTTTATTGCAGGAGCCTCACTACTGCCTCACTGCCGCATGTGGAGGACGATGATTGGACAGCGAGTGTCCAGGGAGCCCATCGACATCCAATCAATCGTCTTTGGCTCGAGCAGCACTGACGTATATTGAGCAGACGTTTGCTTATTGGTTTAAGAGATTGCCACTCAACGCGGCTGACTTCACTTTTGCCCCGCCTCTTCAACGCTGGTGGATGCTTGAACCCACAGGTAAACGGTGTTCTTAGAAAGCTGTCTGCACGTGTGTTTCTTTTTTATATCCTTAGTATTTTACTTTTTGTGTCTCTATATATAGCCTATAATATATAGGGGTCAGTGACGTAACGGTTGCAAAGATATCTCTGTAATGTTTTCAATGTCTCGAAAAGTGATTTTCATATTGGTGTAACTGTTTGGAATTATTGAATAAAGAATTTTTAGAGTAAGTTTAAGCTTTTATTAAAAGTGTGAAATATATA